TTATTAAATTTGGCACAGGACAGTCTGAACTCTCACCATAGCACATTTGGAGTCTGTAACTCAAACCCTTTAGTGCCACCAACAGCTCAAAGTTGAACTTATGTTTATACTAATAATTTTTTAACCATAGGGGCTAGAAACAAAATGTATGTCGATAGGCAAACATTTCTTGTTGACTGGCGAAATGATTTTTGTTTACCACATTAACAAATTTGATGGCATGGTGTCAAACTGCATCTGAGGCTGTATCTCTGCAAAGCTTTGACATATTGACACCAAACTTTATGTGTGTTGTTGTCGCCTTATACTGACCACACCACATTAATTTGATAATAGTGCCACCTCTATTGTTCAAAATTGGTATTTCATGTTACCAGGGGCCTCAGGGTGTGTTGTAGTGTTTTGCTTGGTCAAAGGAAGATGCGAAGAACCTTAGATGAATCTTAGACCACCATATACATACGAACTCCTCACTTAAGAAAAACAATTAACAACTGCTGTTAGATGAATGATCGTCACTGCTGTGAAAAGCTCCGTGTGAATACTTTAGGGTTTTTCACACTGCTCCTAACCCTGGTAGTCGTCGTTCTAAACCCCGCTTTTAACCCTGGGTAAAGGTACATTTCACACAATTTAGAAGCGGGTTCACACCACTTTATACCCGGAGTTATGAAACCCTGCTCCAGAGCAGGAAGCACTGCTTTTTGTGGTGTCAAACTAGTACGATGCAATATTAGAATGTAACGGTTAGACGCTTGGCAACAGATAAACAATTGACCCTTTGCCGGGAGTCTGATTGACAAACAAACCAGACAGGAGAGTAGATTAATGTCGGTGGACTTGAACTTGAAAAATAGTGTGTATTGACATCTTTCTGTGGTTGAAAGAAGATAACTTCTGATGTTCATTCATGTTTATTTTGTGCTATAACTAGTAAAGAGGAAGAGATGTGATCGGTTCATGCATCTCTTGAACTGAGGCGCTACAGCAATCTGTCATGACACATTAAAGAGACACAAAACAGTATTTATTGTTTGAATTTCTTAAAAAATGACAATTTGAAAGATGAGACATTGTTTCATACCAAAAGTAACCAGAGGTAGGTAGTAATGAAGTATATTTACTCTATTACATCTAATTAATTTTAACGCAATACATGTCAAGAAAGGTGTCATTTATTCCAAGCGTGCTGCCTCAAGCCTGGGGCGAGAGCGATGATGCCCCAATCACGAATGATCACTCTATTGAATCATCTGAAGCCGTTTCTCATTCATACCGGTAAATTTAAGAACACAGAGAACAAAAAGAGCTTTGGATGAATTGGCCATTAACCTACCATCAACGGAAACCAAATCTGCAAATTCTACTCTTTGCCTGCGATGAAGATTAGTTACATTTACATTTAGTCATTTAGCAGACGCTTTGATCCAGTGACTTATAAATGAGCAGTGGCGGTTTGTGGATTTTAAAATAGAGGAGGCACACTAATTGTATTGGTCTGGGATCCCTGCCGATTATTATTATTATATTATTTGCTGGTACATGTAGCAAAGTTTTTTTTATAATAAATAAATAAAGTAAAAAGAATAGAGAACGCTAGTGGTTAGAGGGTCATTTTTATAGTAAATAAAGAGAAAACAAGTAGCTAGATAGAATAGAAAAAGAATAGAGAGTGTAAGTGTTAGAGGGTCAAGTGTAGATGGAAGAAATTTGTTTTTATCAGTTTCTTGAAGATGGCTAAGGTCTCAGCTGCTCGGATTGAGTTGGGCAGGTCATTCCACCAGGAGGGAACATTTAATGTAAAAATCAGTGAAAGTGATTTGTGCCTCTTTGGGATGGCACAATAATGCGCCGTTCACTTGCAGAATGCAAGCTTCTAGAGAGTCCAGGCTGGACAGAACAAGAGCTTGATCAAGGAGTTGTGTAGCATGGTTTGAAAAAAGGGCCTGATCTTCCCAAGGTTGTATAAAGCAAATCTGCAGGACCGGACTGTTCTGACAATGAGGAATTGTGATGAAGTGATGGGTTTGCTGAAACCACAAGCAGTTCTGTCTTGGCAAGGTTGAGTTGAAGGTGATGGTCCTTCATACAGCAAGAAATGTCTGTTAGACATGCTGAGACGTGAGCTGCTATCGTCAGATTATCAGGATGCAATGAAAGGTAGAGTTGAGTGTCATAGCAGTGATATGAAAAGCCATGTTTCTGAATGACAGAACCTAGTGATGCCATGTAGAATGTAGACAGAAGAAAAGTGGTCCAAGGAGTGAGCCCTGAGGCACCCCAGTAGCTAGATGTTGTGACTTGGACACCTCACCTCTCCAAGATACCTTAAAGGACCTATCTGAGAGATAAGACTCAAACCACTGGAGTGTGGTTCCTGAGACGCCCTTTGCCAATAGGGTTGACAGGAGGATCTGGTGGTAGAGAGCTTCAACAGCTCTCACACACACACACACACACATGATGTCTATGTATACTTTTACTTGTCCAGTTTTTGGATACTCTACCCACATCTGAAAGTAACCTGCTGTCTTGTCTGTCCGTGCGTTGTTAGTTTCTCAGCAATGTATTTTTCACTCCATGAAAACATGATGTATGGCATGAGAGGGTATGACTTGTTGGACGTAGCAAATATAAATAAGGGGGGCAAGTCTTTGCGAAGGGTAAATTGACTATATGCATTGTTACTTTCTGGTTTTAGTTAAGCCAGGTCAGTCATTTCCAGTCAACTGTCAAAATCAGCTATGTTATCATGCTCCCTGCGACAGGTAAATTGTGTGCCTCATATTCACTTTTTTTTGACAGTCACAGAAAAGCACTGTGTGTTGTATAAATGATTGTTTGAGGGAGAAAATAGCAAGTGGTAACTGAAAACGCATCAATTGGAATAAAAAGAGACGTTTATTCTTACCTTTGTAGTCCGAAAAGTTCCTTCAGGAAAACCTTGACAGTACAGTCTGCAATAGAGGATGCGCAATGCCAGAGCCGTTATGTAAACGGGTCACGTGCCCCACTCGTCCAATCAATGACACTGACACTGCAAATATGCAAATAAGAACGTTAACCCCATAGGTTATCTATGGTTAGCCCAAGGTTTAAGAATGTAATGTTAAACGTCCTTTTATAAAAATTCAGGATTAATTAACCCCGGGTAAATTATGAGAAGTGTGAAGCGTGACCAGGATTCCCTCTACCCAGGTTTAGAATAATCTAGGGTTAAATATTTCAAATGTAAAATAGTATTGTTTCCAAATGTTTTTCATGTGCCATTTGGTGTGAAAATGTCTTTAGAGAACAGAGTAAAACAACGCATCACCTAAAATCTTAACCGAAGGAATGAAATTTCAAGCATTTTTCATATTTAACATTCTGAAACAACACTGAAATAGTCGTAATGTTTCTTCAAGTATAACTTCAAAAATAGCAACACATTACCAGAAGAAAAAGAAGTTGTGCATCAATTAATGATGTAAAATATTTTATTATTTTTTTGTAAATGTAAATTCAATTCCTCAAATACCAAACCCTATATCGCTCTGTGTACTTCAAAAAAGCTTCAGTTTCCAAAACAATTTAGACTACTATACAGAGCAAAAGAAAAGAAAAGAAAAGAAAAAACACTAGGAAATTGATGTATTTTACAAGACAAGGAAAATATCCATGAAACAATTTTGTTACAGCTGTTCATTGAGAAAAAATATATACAACTGACTCTTTTGAAAAAATTCATGCCCAGTACAATACAAAGTCTAAACTGTCCATTTTCAACGTGAAATTGTGCACACAGAAACTCCCAAATTGAAATAACAAGGCATGTGAAATGTGAAAAACTGTTTTTGGCTACAAAATGAATAGCGCTCTCTTAACAGATGCTTCACTTCAATCAATAAAACTAATACAAGCATATGTTTTTCATATGTACATCATTTTCAGAGTTACGTTGACCCTTCTTTCCCACCGATTCCCGCTCATACCGTCTCCAACAAGCAAGCTTCTCAATCGAACAACTTCTCGTTCTTGCACAACGACATTGCAGGTTTATAAAATCCATACGACAGCCTTTATAAAAAAAAAATGAGCATGATCTACTTGTGCCTGTTCTCAGGTTACGCTTGTGATCTCGGAATCGGTTTGTGAGGTTTAAAGTTCATTTCACAGTTATCCCTACATCTACAATCCCACCTGGTTTACTAGATTTTGAATTCCGTGTCGCTGCTATCCGTAACATAAAATGGAATAAAATGAAATGAAAACCAACAAAATGGTCAGCAATAATGTATAAACCACAAAGTCACTACAAATGCCACATCCTAAGCACAGAGAAAATACTTTTCTTGTGAAATCACCTTTGTAATTCTGTACAGTTTCGTAATTATACGTGTACACGTGGTATCATGATGTGTCTTTGTTAAATAATTCCGAAGAGGAAAAGAAAGGAGAAAAAGCAAAACAAAACGGCACATCTAAAATATCTGAACATCAATATGAATAAGGTAGTGAATAAGGTAGTATTTGGTCAATCATTCCGATATTTCTCTATATTTACACGGTATTTACAGATGTAACAGAATCTCAAACTGCGTGCAAGAATCGCAGTCGGGCTTCCTATTGATCGGCATAAAACCGCTTTTAAAAATAAGCCCATTCATTCACTCACACAGTAATAAATACAAAACACCTTTATTTTCTTACACTAAACAATGAGAGAGATATCTAGGATAAAACTGACTCATGGAATCAAGTATTTTGATTTTTTTTTTTTTTTTTGAGTTCATTTTTTTTTAATGCAATTAATGGCTAATAGTTTAAAGTACTTAAATAATATCAGTTTAGTATTTTCAGTGACTTAACCTAAGAACCAAATCTGAGAATGACTTAATCCTAATGACCAATAACAACTCTCATGTACTGGTTTAAAATACTGTAAATCAGTTTACTGATTTATGCTGTGCACTTAAAACTGGCGGAATCAAGTTTTTTTATTTTTTTTTTTTTTTGTGAGTTCATTTTGTTTTCTGTTTCTTTTTTGTTTTCTTTTTTTTAGTGCAACATGTTTTTTTTCCCTTGCGGAAGTCAATTCCGTACATTCTCCATTCAGTGATGTTCTACATTGATTTCTACGGTTCGGTCTCTACAGATCTCGTCATACAGATGGGCCTGCCCCTCCATCAACCTATAAGGCAATACCCGGCACAGTGCTCGTGCTCATTCTCCGTCCTCATTCGCTGGTGAAATCTGCCCCGTGTGACGCACACGCATTCGAGCTGACAAACACAGACACACACAGACTCATGGCACATGCACATAACAGAACCTTTTCCTTTCAAGTCAAGAAATGATACGAATGGCTCTCACACAATGCTGTATTCTCGCGTTGTGTTTTCCTCTTAGTTTTGCACATTAAAAAAATGATCGCCCGTTACGACAACTTCCAGGATGGGCTGTTTCCTCTTTGCACATCTCCTCTGGTAAATTGGCACCTCAGAGTTGTTGGTGTCACTCCTTGTTAGTTTATCCACTTGCGGCAGTTGGCGGCTCCACAGTGACATGGGATCTTGCTCTGATCTGCAACCGGGGTGAGCTTGTAATCGTAGCAGAGCTGCAACAAAATCATTCAGAGGTGGTTCAAATTTCAAACCAGAAGCACTGCACTAGTTCTTATGACAGCAGACACTTCAAAAATCTGCCCTTATTCAGTATTTCGCCATATGATCAAAAAGAGCATTATGCGATGTAGTCGAGAGCACTTTAAAGTGCTGTTTCAGCTGTCTGGATCAGAGTGATGTTGAACAGTCAGAGTATAGTATGTAGGAAGGCCGGTACTGTCATTTAACAGTATTATTCAATTATTGTTTTAAAAATCAACTTGTATACAATTTTTTTTTCACCAAGAACCACGGTTTCAGCTAAAAATCTTTATTGTTCTATTGTTAATTTTTGGGTGGATTACTCCTTTAAATGAGTGCCAGATATATATATATATATATATATATATAAAATCTCTAATATCAGCTGATATATCCAAAATTCTGTCATGAAACTCTAGATGGCGCAGTCCAATAGGTCTAACTGAATCTGACATAATGACATCATCACATGGTGCTGGCGTTGGAGTAGGGGGTTGAGCCCGAAGCGTCAATCCTTATAAGGCACGGAAAATAAATAACTATTCCTAACACCATGTCTACACCGGACGCGAGCGGTGCGACAAAATACTATAGAACCACTGATCTATAATAGAGATTCATTATATATAGATCTGTGTATAGAACTCATTATAATCAGTGATGCTGTGTACACTGGATGCGGCGCGACACGACAAATTCCCGACAGTAAACTGCTGCCGCGTTCTATTTATGACGTGCTGACACAAATTTCAAATGATTTTCAACGGTCGCTTTGGTGTTGGTCGGCTAGGCGATATCGCGTTCATAATTGAATGCGATTCATCTGCGATTATGATCGCGATATTGCCTAATTGTCAGTGAACTACGGCTCTGTGTAGTGCATGCCGCTCCATCTGAAAGCAGGTGATGGCGATTTACTACTAATCACGGGACCGGCTTTACTGACGAGATGCGCATGACAATCGCATGCGATTAATTGCACAGCCCTACTTACCACATAAACAGAGTAAGGAGAGATGACTGAGGACGATGGCGAATGATTTGCAGATCCTCAGCACCACTGACAAACATCTAATCTTGTAAAATGTGTGGTAAGTACTGCTGTTCCATAGTATAAACAGAGCACGTGTGATCGCGAATCTCGAAAGTGAAAGCGAAACTAAAAAGTGATTGTGCATTCAAAAGCGCAGTTTCAATGTCCGGTATAATAGCGGCTCCCTGATGCCCGAAATATACTGTATATGTAGTATAATTACCCAATGATATAACTGTGAAAGAAAATATTGAAATATATATTTTCTTCCCATCTCGTATTTATTCCCTTTAGGGGTTTCGTATACACGTCATTTTCTTTCCGAACACGGTATTGGGATGCGGCGGATTGCGGGGGGTATCACGATGCCGGCTCAACATCATGATGTCTATCAGCCATCGGTCTATCGGCCCAACCCTAGTGCATTCCAATGCTCATTTTTCAGGTATGTTTGCACTGTTACCTGATGTGCATATTTCGTTTAGGGTGCATAAAAATGAATGTCACTTTCAGTTGTGCAGTTCATTCTTAATGAATTCCCTCTTTCCTTACCTCTTCTCCCCTCTCGATCCTGCGGGCGGCACTGATGATGATCTTGTGGCCCCGCTCAAACGTCACAACCTCAGCCACACAGTTTGGTGAGCATGAATGATTGATGTACCTACGGGATAAATTTAATTCAAATTAATTAATTTCATTACTACGTATTTCCTAGAGCTCACTTTGAACTTTTCAGCAGCAATTTTTTTCAAACACAATGCCATTAACCATATAAAATTGTAGGGCTGTGCAAAAAATCGAATGCGATTTTCATGCGCATCTCGTCAGTAAAGCCGCTTCTGCTGATTAGTAGTAAATCTCCAGCACGTGCTTTCAGATGGAGCGGCATTTACTACATGAAAATCGCATTAGATTTTTTGCACAGCCTTATAAAATTGTAATTCAAATTTCATAGAAAAGCAAAAGCAGGGGTATCATTAACGAGGTATCATTAATTTCCATAGCACAACCAGTGTGGGATAAAGTTTAAGTTTAACATTTTGGGGGGTTTGTCCTGATACACTACTGTTCAAAAGTTTGGGGGCAGTATTTAAAAAAAATGAATACTAAAAATATGAATCACACTTTCCACAAAAAACATTACGCAGCACAACTGTTTTCAACATTGATAATAAGAAAAAACTGAGCATTTCTGAAGGATCATGTGACACTGAAGACTGAAGTAATGGCTGCAGGAAATTCAGCTTTGCACCACAGGAATAAATTACATTTTAAATATATATTAATATAGATATAAATTATATTAAATTTAAATAATATTTCACAATATCACAGTTTTTACTGCATTTTTTATAAAAAAAAAAAAAATGTAGCCTTGGTGAGCATAAGAGACTTCTTTCAAAAACCCCAAACTTCTGAACAGTAGAGTATCTTAAATAGTAATCCTAAAGCAGTTCACAGATGTTCAGCATTGTGCTCAGAATTGTGTAAAATATAGAAAAGATAACAATGTCAGATTTGACATTGCCCATAATGCATTATTAAGTAATGTACACATTTGAAAGCTGATATGAGAAGCTAAGTTCATTTCTTACCTTGCAGGGCTTCCAGACCGGGTTGCATCGATAACTCGCTCGCCGTAGATGCGGAACATGTACGCTGGGCGGTTCTGTTGGAGAAAACCACACAGATTTAGACAAACGCATTTCGACAGCAAGTCAAGCTAACGTTATTCCCAGCGTTGTTCCCTCAGTGGCTGAGCGAGCTTTACCTTAGCCTTGTACAGCAGCTCTTTCCTCATGGCCACCTCAGCGCGCAGAATATCCCCCATGTATTCAATCACCATGGTCTGCTTCTCAATGTCACGTGCTGCAAACAGCCCAAGACCCTGCAGACACAAGACACATTAGACATGCACCACACCCAAGGCTAGCGCTCGCTCGCTCACACACACACACACACACAGATGTACAGTGCATTCTACACAGCTTCAATTAATAGACATTTTTTATATATATAAAAAAAAAAAAATGTAGCCTTGGTGAGCATAAGAGACTTCTTTCAAAAACCCCAAACTTCTGAACAGTAGAGTATCTTAAATAGTAATCCTAAAGCAGTTCACAGATGTTCAGCATTGTGCTCAGAATTGTGTAAAATATAGAAAAGATAACAATGTCAGATTTGACATTGCCCATAATGCATTATTAAGTAATGTACACATTTGAAAGCTGATATGAGAAGCTAAGTTCATTTCTTACCTTGCAGGGCTTCCAGACCGGGTTGCATCGATAACTCGCTCGCCGTAGATGCGGAACATGTACGCTGGGCGGTTCTGTTGGAGAAAACCACACAGATTTAGACAAACGCATTTCGACAGCAAGTCAAGCTAACGTTATTCCCAGCGTTGTTCCCTCAGTGGCTGAGCGAGCTTTACCTTAGCCTTGTACAGCAGCTCTTTCCTCATGGCCACCTCAGCGCGCAGAATATCCCCCATGTATTCAATCACCATGGTCTGCTTCTCAATGTCACGTGCTGCAAACAGCCCAAGACCCTGCAGACACAAGACACATTAGACATGCACCACACCCAAGGCTAGCGCTCGCTCGCTCACACACACACACACACACAGATGTACAGTGCATTCTACACAGCTTCAATTAATAGACACAGGTTTGTACAGCTGACAGAATGAGACATCAGGTATGTCTCAGTGATTTAGCTGTTTTTATGCCTGTGTGGTTTTAAAAAGCACGGCAGGGAACTGGAAGTGACACTTGATCAGCTGTGGCTCTTTTAGATGACCACACAACCGTGCCAGAGGGAGGAATGCCAATAACACAGGCTTAAAAGAGACATTTTTTTCATTAAGATGCTCTTAGAGGAATGACAGAAACTGTAGTCACTCGAGGCACACCGAGTATTTCAAGGCCTATCTGAATCCCTTCAAACATTTCCTTTTCAGTCAGTCTGATTGAACATGGCCATTTCAGTCAGCTTTTGGCAATATGGATCAGACCGGTGAGATGATCAAACATGTTGCTCTTCACGAAGCGGCTTGTGTGCATGGACTCACCTGGATGCGAGAGTGTGCCAGATACACGTTTGTCTTCCAGTCGCTGGTCAGCCTTCGGTACTGAGATGACTTAGAGTGCACAAAGTGCTTGCTGTGAGATGATCCCCTCACCACCTCCGTTGAGTTCTGGATGCAGTGAGATGTTCTGGACCACGCGGAGAGGATCTTCAGCCTGTGAGGAGACAATGACAGAAACAGAGAAAGAAAACATTATTTCTGTTCCTCATTTCAATAGGAATAAGCAGCAAATTTGCATGTCCACCCCTAAAATATGACTGATATCTGCACGAGGGAATTTTTCACCCGTGCCCTTTTTTGCCCTCAAGTTCCTCACACAGATTGTGCTCATATTGACTCAAATTTGCCTATGCTATTTACAATGACAATGGACCTGTTTTTCAGGGTTTCTGCAGGTTTTATGAAGGTAAATTTAAGAACAATTTTAAGACCAATTTAAGTAATAAATCGAAGGGAACAATACATCAATGTGTTCTCTAAATGTAAATGTCTAGAGTTCATCTACATGAACTATCACCATCTACATAATACATCTAGATGTATTAGCAACAGTTTGAAAACACAACTTCAAACCATTCCTCAATTCATATTTAAATCAATTTTACAAGCAAAAATAGGAATACGGAAATAACTTTTACTGTGTCTTCTGGTCACAGTGCAAAAACATGATGTTCTTCCTCTGTATTTTTGTCTTGTTTTCAAGTGCAAATATGACCCTGGACCACAAAACCAGTCATAAGGGTCAATTTCTCGAAATTGAGATTTATACATCATCTGAAAGCTGAATAAATAAGCTTTCCACTGATGTATGGTTTGTTAGGATAGGACAATATTATATAACTATTTGAAAATAAACAAAATGACAAAACAAGAAAGTCTTGTAATCTGAGAAATTTATTAAAATGAAGTGTTACAATTAAAACAAGAACAAATCTGCCGATGGGGTCAGAAAAATCAGCTCAATTTCATTCAATTTATCAGAAAACAAGGCTTTAACAATCTTCATTTTGCATCTCAAGTAAGTGTATCTTGACTTAAATATGTTTAGGTATTTGAACTAAAAAACAAGACAAAAATACTGATGAAGATATTTATTCTTTGCAGTGCATGCAACATTTAATGCCACAACTTTAATCAACACTTTCTGCTACACTTTAAGACCTTTTAAAGCATTCATTTGAAGAGGGTCAAATTAAGACCAGCAGAAACTGATTTTGCACAAGCAATTTCGCTGCAATTTTGTTGATGTGACCACACCTTAATTTTTCACAATACTGAAATACTGTTTTTACAATATTCAGCTACTGACCTCTCATGATGGGGGTACGTCTGCAACTCAGAACGAGCGCAGCCAGATGGATTCATGGACAGTGGAAGCACCAACATGGGATTATGTCCATAACGGAATCGATACCTCGAGCACGCCTCCACACCCGGCAGCTACAATACAGTGACAAATCAACGAACTGCACATAACTGAACATCTCATTCTACAATATGCATTGAGTGATACTAAGGTTGATTGTACTTACTGATTCAGCAATGCGGGTGACTGCTGAGATGGTGAGCCCAAACAGGTCCTCTCCCTTCAGATAGATGGGGAAGAGTCTCAGCATGCCTGTCTCAGCCCTCCTCTCGGCCACGGGCCCAAGAACCTTGTCCCAGACTCCTAGAGCACACAAACAAATAAAAAAACATCATGTCGCTGTCAGCTAGGACTGGTAAGATTATCTTTAACTGGTTTAAATGAGAGCTACACAATCACACTGAAATTGAAATGATATGGCATAGTGGCCATAATTCAAGGCCTTTTAAAATGATAATTAAGACTGTTATACCACTTAAAATATTTAAGACTTTTTATGACTGTAAATTTGATCAAAGTGAATTTAAGACTTTTTAAAATACCTATGGGAACCCTGTCAGCTTTTATATCAGCATATGTGATTTAATTAATCCAGTGGAGACTGCGGCAGCTGTACCTTTAGCAGTGGTGTCAGTCAGCACCAGATCCTCGTAGCCCTGCTCAATGACACGGATGCTGAATTCGGGACGCCCCTCATGCTCTTCCACAGAGCAGACGTACCGGCAGCGCTTCTGGCCGTGCCGCATGCTCCAGTAGAGCCGGCTCGCCTCGTAGCCAGGTGGAAAGATGGCCGTGGATGAATGAAACGTGGGCAGCAGGGCAGGTGGCAGCTGACCCATTGAATGGAAAAGCAAACTGCCCACTCGGAAAGTATGGCCGCGTTCAGGCTGCTGCACGGCCGCCGCTAACTGTCGCAGCTCATCGCGCTGCACAAACACGCGGCGGAACACGGAGAAGCAGCGAAGCTGCTGTTCTAAGTGCAACCCAGCAGCGGCGCCAGATCCTCGCGGCCGGTGCTGGTGGCACAGCATTGTCTTATCCTTGAAAAACGTACAGCCAGCCTGCAGGGCGCAGGTGAAGTGGTAGATGTTGAGGCAGCGCAGCCGATGGCAGCCACTGGTGGCACCTAAGCGCTGACAGAACGCACAAACCACCGTTTGCCCTCGCTGGCGCGCCAATTCCACGTTGATTAGGGCACCGGCTTGCGTCTCATAGACCTCCGAGGACCAGAGGGCACAGTTGAGGTGCACCCAGGTGTCCAAGTTCAAGTTGAGCAGCCTGGCAGGGCCATCTGTCATCCCATCGCCTATCTGTTGGCAGAAACAGCAGCGGCGCCAGTCTCGAGTGGTTGAGCACGGTCGCAGAGATGAGTTGAGCTGCTGCAAAAGCTCCTCAACTTCCGATTCAGATGTTTGGGTGGCAGCTTTTGGTATCGTAATGTGTACCGTCCATTTTCGCCAGCGCAGGCCTCTCCACCGTTTGCCGTGATGCCATGGTTTGTCTTCCATGTGGCTCTGGGAACGCGGCGTAAGCTTTACCATCACTTTAAGATGACTTTCTGATATGCTTTCAGGTTTGGATTCCATCTTGATCGCTTGAGCTGCCTCGGCTGGGGTGAAAGCCATGTGAAGGTTCGGAGAGGGAGGGGACGGTTTGGGCTGGAGTTGGGCCAGGCAGTGGACGTCTAGCGAGGACATGTTGTTGCTGTACTGGTGCTGGACTTTAGAGGGACACTGTCGCGAAGCACTTTCAGGAAGTAGAGCAACAGATGCCTGGAAATGCAACACAGAAACATGCACAAAATTAATCATGCGTAATCAAGAGCAAATTATCCATCAACAACCACGCTGTTTGCATATGGATTATGACAGAGAAAACAAACCTTGGTGTCAGCGTTCCCATTGGACTGAGAGGAGGATGAGTGTAGAATGAGACAGCTATGACTGCAGAACACCAAACCAGCATCCGAACATAACCGAGACTTCTGGGAGAAATCAGACGACATCAGGTTTAAAAATGCTTGTCTTTTCTTTCTTTAATCTCAAATGTAATAATGTAACTTGCTTTGCTTCTGAAATGACTTTCCTGCTGTCATCTATGCAGTCTAGGGGTGGGCAATATGTCAAAAGTATCATATCGTAATATTTTCAGGTAGGATCACGTTCCATGATCTCATGACGATTATTTTTAACGTTGGTTTTTAAGACTAATTTGGAAGTAACTAAACATTAAACCGTAATAACTAGTGTGAACAGCGTGCACACAGACAGCCGCGTCTCTGACACGCGTGAGTCGCCTGAATGGGTAAATACATACAAAAGTAGCCTGTCAAAATACCTGTCTTGCCAAGTAACTTTTTTTTGTAGATTTAACAATGATTGATCTATATTTACACCGCATGCATATTTATTAGGCACGTTGATATTCTGATCATATTTTTTTTTCCAAGCACATTTTACCAATTCCAAACCACATCAATCTTAATAACTACTATTAATTTTGTATTTAATCCTTTATAAGTGATATATAATTGTCCATGAAGGCTGGAAGTGAATTATTAGGCATGTTTTTTTTTACAGATAAAATGAGCCAAAAAAGAGGTTTAACTATTATTTAAAGTATTATTAGTATTATTATTTAAAATGATTAAATCCCCATGAGAAATATTCAAAACTAATGCAATACAGAAATTGCAAAATTAAGACATGACCACTGGACAGCAAAATGCTCACTGGGACAGCGGGGTCAGAGAAAAACAGGTGGAGAAGAAAAGACAATTTTTAGGTAAAATAATCCTAAAAAATGACCCTCACTTAATAAGAATAACATGCTGAAGTATTGTGAAATACATTAAGACTTATTTTTTATAGGCTTTATGGACAGTTTTGAAAGTTTTGAGTGACTCTTGAAGGACCAGCACCACATGCTCTTGTACCACTGTTTGAAGAATGTATCTTCCAGAATCTGGCAGTAAGTTTTAGGAGCTCATTTGACTAAAATGAGCTCCTAAAACCTTCACTTACTGCCTAATAATTATGTACGCGGTGTAATTTATACAGAGTCGACCGGACATTTTTTGTTTTATTTCAGACTATCTTCTGTTCTGTGCTTGCACACAAACCGCACTGCAATCATTTTCCAAAGTGCCATTTGTGTGGAAATATTACGTTATTATTATAATTAGTCTGTAAACGGCCACTAACAGAGGCCAGAGATGTTGAAGACGGACGCAAAGAGGAGAAAATACTGTAGCAGGCAGAACAAGATCACTGTTCACGATGCGCGAAATATAGGAAGAAAATCCAAATATTGAATTTTATATGAATGTGTTTCTGAGGGGAACTGGTTGTTTTCATTAAAGGTGACATATCATGAAAATCTGACTTTTCCAATTTTTAAGTGCTATAATCAGGTCCCCGGTGCATCTACCAACCAAGGAAACATGAAAAAGATGAACCCAGTGACTTCGTTTTGGTAAGCCTTTTTCTGCAAGCGTCTGAGAAAACGAGCGCGTCTGATTTCGCTTCCTTATGGTGTTTTCTTCTCATCTTGTCTCCATATAACGCATTTAAATTAGTGTTAATACGTGCAGAGCTGCTCTGTTTAACAGTGGTAACCAAGGAAACGCTGTATTATTGCTGTTAAGTGCCACCTGTTGGCAGAGAGTGAAATTGCGTCTCACTCAGCCTGTCTGCTGTTTCTGTTTCGTGCAATGATTTATGCAACATAATTTTACAAAGCTAAATAAAGTCAGACCATTCTGTTTTTGCTTCAGATTTTGAAATTATACAGTCTAATATAAATCAAAGATTGCACATTTTTGTTTTGATCGATTCATGATTAAAATGCAGTGGTTGCCTCTAATCTCAAATGGCTATGAAAAATAAAGGTGCAGAGTGAAGAATATGCAAATGTAATTTTATGTGATTTTTCAATTTCTGTACCTGAACATCTAAAAACATAAATCGTAATTTCATTTCTATTTTTGTGCTATAGGCCTATATTGAATTGTGCATTTGAATTTGTTCATGTGTTCTTATTTATTGGCTGTTCACTTGTCTTTAATAATGTTTGAACTTTATATTTATTTATAGCTAGTGGGGTTTGCTGTGGTATCAAAATTGAAATCGAGAATTGTACAATTGAATTGGTATCTAAAATATTGGTGTCATATAAACTTATTTACTGGAATACAAGATAACATAGATCAAAAACAATGATAACAGCAACTATTTTATTTTTTGTGGCAGGGCCAGTGAAAATGTTGGCAGGGGAAGTAAAAAGTTGAAACACTGACCGGACCGGGCCAGTAGAAAATATCCTTAATATTGAGCCCTGGAATGTAATCTGAAATTAATCTTGAAATCTAATCAAATGTAAAATACAACACTGTATGAATGAAATATTGTTTTTTATTAAAGCTACAAAAATTAATTGGTCAACAGCAGTGAGTGATTTTCTCTTTTAATAACTCCTTTTAAAATCAGCCATGTCACACTCTTTACTTTCCATTCATCCATGTTTCTTTATTGCTCTAAATGTTGGCAGGGCAAGTAAAAAGTTGAAACACTGACCGGACCGGGCCAGTAGAAAATATCCTTAATATTGAGCCCTGGAATGTAATCTGAAATTAATCTTGAAATCTAATCAAATGTAAAATACAACACTGTATGAATGAAGCATACATTGATTTTTATTAACATTACAAAAAATGGTGATTTCTCTTTTTCTGTTGTAGTCTTTTTAACATTAATGACAGACAGCAGCAAGTTTATTAGGCTGCTGTCACTTTAAGACCTAACGTACTCCTATATATATATATATATATATATATATATATACTTACACAAATTCTATTTTCTCCTAACTGTTTACGTTCACCTTAGATGTAACGTGAGTACTGGCAAAGGTGGGCATTTTGACATATTTTTGTGCGCATTTAACCATTTTGGCGCACACCCGAAATGATAAAACCAAATTATATTTTGCGTGTCCGCATTCCGCTCACGATGCAATGTCCACAATGATCTAATCAATAAAATAAAGTCCCAACCTACATTTCACTTGCAAATATGTCAGATGTTTAGAAATAAAATGGGTTTCGAATGACTTTTGAAAACACTAAGAGCAAAACAAAATAACATATTCATACCTGTACTTTGCCCTGCTCATCTTTGGTCATTTTCCTCACACCATTGCCAAGGACAACCACTTTACAGTGTTGACACCATTGTTGCTTTGGTCCTGGGCTTTCCTGTCCCTTCTTATCCCACTCTCTACCACCAACAAGACCTGAAAGATATCCACAGTTGTCAATAAACAGAAAAGGTTTCTCCTACCTGCTCTGATTAGCGTAAAAACGGCAATTACACAACGGTACTAGAGAGCTGTGTCATTTCCCTGTGATGAATGCGATGTAATCTTGAATTGAAACTTTTAATGTGATTCAGTACATTCATTAAGTGAGTATCTGACACAGATGGGCAGACTTCAACAGGATAGAGTTCAGGCCAAGATCACTACTGTGTTTAAGTAGCTTCTCCAATCGTTCACAAAATCAATAGTGATTTTCCATCAGCAACTCAGCCAGACACAGACACAATATTGCACAGTTAACAAGTGATGGATAAACAATTCCTGATTGCTATCCTATAACTGTATTTGTGTAAACAGGCTGCATGCAACTGTCTACCAATCAGGCTAATTGTACTGCTGTATTCACATATGTGACCCTGGACCACAAAACCAGTCTTAAGTCGCTGGGGTATATTTGTAGCAATAGCCAAAAATACGACATATATGTATAATGCACCATAAAATGTATATTTAGTCATTCATTCACCCACCTACTCATTTCCGTCCCATCATTGTCAGATATAATGTAACAAAAGTACTTTATATATTATATATAAAGATAAAATATTTCTTTGGTTTTGATTTTTTTGAATGTATATACACTGCCGTTTAAAAGTATGGGGTCAGTAAGGTTTTTGGAAGAAATTTAAATTTTATTCAGCAAGAATGCATTCATTTGATCAAAAGCAACAGTAGACGCACTCATAATGTTACAAAGATTTCTATTTCAAATAAATACTATTCTTTTGAACCTTCTATTCATCAAAGAGTTCTGCTAAAATCTTGCTTAAAAATCATGGTTTCCACAACGGTCTTCAACACTGATAATAAGGAATGTTTCTTGAGCAGCAACTCGTATAAAAATGATTTCTGAAGGATCATGTGACACTGATGACAGGAGTAATGATGCTGAGATTTCAGCTTTGATCACAGGAATAAATTACATTTTAAAATACATATTTAAATAGAAACTAAACAATTCAAATTGTAATAATACTTCACAGTATTACTGTTTGAACAAAGACAAAGACATATATACCAAGACAAAGACAAGCAAGCGTTCCTCACTTTTGTTAAGGTTGTGCTGTAGCTGCTGTGGTGCTTGCTGTGTGGCTCGTAGTCCGTTCGGCTCATGAAGGGCAGAGGTCATATGCTGTGGATCCACTGAGGTCTTGATGGCCCCCATAGTTCCTCCTGGGCCACTGCTGACCTCGTAGCTGCTGGGGATCTTCACATGGATCAGGTCAGCAATGGCTGCAACAACGTCAGTGATGTTCTGAAAGACCACAGTGAAGAACGTGAGGGGTTTAGATATTAAATCTAGCTATTTATTCTATTTCCGCTCACTGCGTTTGCACTGACTGCTTGTACAATGAATTTAAATTATCTGTCAAATTTTGTGTACGCTCATTCTGTAGCAGGGAAATGGCTGTACTTCCATGTTCTTGTGCTGTCAAACAAGACAAATCCTCTGCAGTCGTGCAAAAAGTGATCACTGTTTCTCACCCCCGCAGCTGCTGGCTTCAGTGTGATGGCGATGGACACCAGCCCAGTGTTGGAACCATTTTGCACTGATCCAAATGGAGAGCCGAAGAACACTGATGAAGGCTCCATCTTGACCTCTCGTAATCTGACCTCTGAGCCTACAACACAAGTGGAATAAACCAAACGGATGAAAAAAACGAATCCACTGTGGTCACCCAGAACATTTAGAATGTAAGTGTAGGCACAAAATTGAAGGAGTTCGTTACCTTTGCCCCTAAAGACAGGAAACATTGGAATTACTGGAGACAGGGCTGGAGAAGGAGGTTCCTCCTTGACCAATGAGAGATCAGGATAGCGGCTGATCTCCATGCCAACGACACTCTCTGGGGAAGAAGACGGGATGAAGCTGTCTGGGGTGTCTCGGTCTTCACATTGCTCCTGTCCCCTGTGTGTACAAGCGAAATACATTTTTACATTTTAGCTGAGAAGTTGAAAAATAGACGAATGGTTAGAAAATACAATCCCTTTTCAGTGAAGTACTGTCCACCTGATATTTTGTTTCCATTACATATATGCACATACTATGGGGATTCTTCTGTTGGGGCGCTTTTGAATGTTCCAAAATAATGAAACTTCTTCAAAAGGGTTTCTTCTGTGTTAAAGCATTTGCTCTGGAATAAAGGTCTGAACAAGGCCTTGATCAACCTTAAAGTGGATTTTAGAGTAATGATGACATTTTTTAAATATTGTGTGTTTTTGCAAAAAAAGAGTTGGGTTTGAGTTTGGCCTTGAACGCAAGTTATTTAGCAGTCAATTCAGTTTGAATTCATAAAAAATAAACAAATGATGTTTGATTATTATTATTATTTATTCACTTTTTTAACGCCATGCCAGCATCAAGGCTATTTTCATGGCGATCTCTGAATAAATTATACAAGGTATACAATTTTAAAAAAGTGTATAAAAGACATTCCAGACGTACACTAGACAAAAATTCTAAAATACATTCAGGTGATACATTTTTAAATAAATCAGTTAGACAATAATGTTTGATAACAACACCTAACAAACCTACTTTTAAAATAATCATGTAAAACAAAATCTTCAAACTATCACTCTAGTGTGGCAGTACAATTACTGGTTTAACGCTATAAATGTACTGTATTATAGAGGGAAGTCTTGGTAGGAGATAAGCTAAAAGTAGAGAAATCTTAAAAAGTAATTATATTATATCCTTTAAAATTAGATAATTATCTATAAAATCATCTTAGAGTACAGAAAGCTTCCCCTAACTGAGGAATCAACCCTTTATTTTAAGGAATTAACTTCTGAGGTCCTTTCTGAGTGTAATTAAGAAACCTCTCAGAAACCTGACCATTGCACGTCTCATACCTAATGCTAAGACTCTTTTATAATATTTAAAAAATAATTTACAGTGATGATAATATTTACTAGCATCATAAAAGTTACTTTAATTCTTAAAAAAGGTATTTAAAAGGGGGGGGGTATGTACACTACTGTTCAAAAGTATTCTGTTTTCAATAAAAAAAAAAACAGAAAAATAGTATTGTGAAATATTGTAAATAACTGCTTTTTATTCTAATATATTTTAAAATAGTATTTATTCATGTGATGGCAAAGCTTAAATTTTCATTAGCCATTACTCCAGTCCCCCTGGTCATTTCATTACTGCTAGTACCTCTAGAACTTAGCAAAAGGGGTGGGCGATATAGCCTCAAAATTATATCACGATATTTCAAGAATATTTGCGATAATGATATTTATGACGATATAGAAAAAACAAAACATGGAACAACGTTTTATTGGTGATTGCAGCTGGCAGGCAGCAGCATTTATTAGTGCAAACAAAATGAAGGGCATTTTCCATCCTTTTCCAATGAGCTACTGTCATCGATGACAGATTACCTAATTTGAAGTGTAAATCTATTGTCATAAGGTGGCAGCAGCAGCTATGTGTTCGACTTGAAGCAGACCGATCGGTGTATGACGTCAAAATACCGCGAGAGTGACTTACCCTTTATTAACACTGCACGCATCTGCGGCGCGTTACGGCTCCGACGCGGCCACTCTAGTCAATGCTTGTGTTTACACCAGCGGAGCTGTGGCACGTTTCAAAAGTGTCCCAGAAGTGGCTCTCCACGCTGCTTCGCTAAAGATATGTGCCTCGCCTATTTTTGAAGGTAAGAGTGTGCGCTCAAATATGCTCTAGAACTGCTCTCACGATACTTTGATGTCATACACCGATCAGTCTGCGCAGCGCTGCTTCAAGTCGAACACACCAACGCGTCACTATATCATTGATAGCGCGATATGACACTTTTTTTAATCATGTACAAATTTATACCGGTATAGGGGCACACCCCTACTTAGCAAATTTCAATTGTAACTCTACTCTGTTAATGAAAATACACATTTGAATGACATACTTTGATATAACAGAAACATCAGTGGGAAGTGTAATCCCAGTTCCTGTTATCTGTCTACTGACCTGAGCTCTTCCTGGTTGTTATGAGGCGGGGTGGGAAGAGAAGCCGGCACATTCACAGTTTTGGGCCCCTGAGCCAGAGCTCGAGCTAGCAGCTCCTCCTCAGCCTTAAACTGCAGCGGTCGAGAAAGCAGCCCTTTGGTGACTGTTGAAACACAACAATTATAATCATTAGTGTCCACTGTCCAATATATTATTACATTTTGTGATCTAAATGTTTTTTTTTTAATCTTTGTTTTGGGCTATTGATATAAATTGCTCACCATCATGGCCAACAATGACGCCACCTTTGCTGGCCAGCTCCTCTGTTGTGGCAAAGCCATTGAGCAACTTCTGGCGCGCCACTGGAGGAGGAGTCGGAGGAAGAGAGGCGGGAGGTGTGGGGGGGTTGCTCAAATTATTCTGCTGTAGAGAGAGAAAAATACGAGTGACCATCTGTATGTCTCATACATGAAATCTAATAAGTGGAGTTTACTGCTGATGTCACGAGATTTGATGCAAGTCATAAAAAAGCTTCAGAGGCAAATGTACAGTCACAGAGTGTTTTATTAGCTGCTCTTAATTACCTTGTAAATCAGCTGGGAGTAATAGTCAGAGACACCGTCCAATGAGGCGCTCCCAAATGTGCCCGAGAGACGGCTCTCTCCGTCCAGCTGTCCGCCCCCATAGGGCATGAAATGGGCAAAGTTCACCCCCACCAGAGGCTCCATTAGGGGCAAGAGAGAAAGCTGCTGGTGCAGTGAAACAATGAGACAAAGAACGACATATGGGAAATGTGAGATAAAGGTCATGCTTAGAAGAGCGTTAGAAGAGACAGAGGTCCTATTTGAGTGTAATTAAGAAACCTGTCAGAAAACTGACAACTTCTCATGTGATGAGCATAAGGTATGAGATACACCTTATGCTAAGACTCTTTATAATTTTTATTTCACAGTGAAGACATTTACTATTATAATAAAAGACAAAATATACTTTAATTAAAACAAATTTAAATATGATATTAAAATAGTATTAAATTGATTTGATCAATTTAGTATTTAGTTAAACTGAACCAAATATGGGTGCAATCTCAAAAGTACAGAAAAAATAATTTAATTTTTAAATGTTTTTGAAAAGTCTCTTATGAACACCAAGGCAGCATTTATTTTTTAGAGTAAAATTAAGAGTATTTTGAGTAATAATTAGAGTAAAACTGTACTATGAAATATCATTACAGTTTAAAATTATCTTTACTCCAGTCTTCAGTGTCACATGATCCTTCAGAAATAATTCTAATATGCTGAGTTGCTGCCCAAAAACATTTCTTCTTATTATCAAAGTTGAAAACAGAAATATTTTATAACAATATAACTGTCTTTATTGTCACTTTAAAACAATTTAATGTGTCCTTGCTGAGTAAAAGTATTCATTCTTTCCAAAACAAACCAAAAACAACAACTGTTAAATTCCTAAAAACTTCTTGACAGAGAAATCTTCAGTCAGGAGCATTTTAAAACTGCTGTGTCGACCCCAGATTCCTCAATCATAGAGGTCATTATCTAAACCAGTGACTTTCTTTTATGTGATGAGCGTTCATAATGTCTCACAGCACTATCCTCCTCTGGCCAGTGATTTCTATTGTGATGATACACTGTCTGTAATCATGTCTGTGATTAAAAGCAGAACATGCTTGACTCATTCTCATATTGCATGACAAAGTGGCTATGACAAACATACGTACCAGACTACTGTGCCTGTGTGTAACAAGAAATTGTTTTAGCAATGCAACAAGTGTATGATATCTAACATTGAGTGGATTTGCTGATAGGTCTTAAATTACTGTAAAAAAAAAAAATTAGCATTTAGTCTTATATCTCAATAAAAATATCTAAACGTCCTCAAAAGAAAGTTTAATAGCTAAACGATTTATTATTTTTTTAAAGAAATAAATTAATATTCTTATTTAGCAAGGATGCATTTAATTGATAAAAAGTGACAGTAAAAACACAATGTAACAAAAGATTTCTATTTCAAATAAATGCTGTTCTTTTGAAATTTCTACTCAGCAAAAAATCCTGACAAAAAATTTAACAGTTTTCACGAAAATATTAAGCAGTACAACTGTTTTCAACATTAATAATAATAATAATAATAATAAGAAGAAATGTTTCTTGAGCAGCACGATGATTTCTGAAGGATCATGTGACACTGAAGACTGGAGTGAAATTCAACTTTGCCATAGAATAAATAAAACTATAACATGTTTTAAAACAGAAAACTGTTATTTTGACCTGTATATAGTATATATATATAGTAATGTAGTAATATATAGTAATGCTAAATGATGAGCAGTAAAATATTACTCATAACGACCACATTTCTGCTTTGGTGTTTATGAAGAGATATTTAAGCCCTACTGACGGGCGTGGAAGTACATACGACTGACCTAGACTGAAAATAAAAAGGATTTTTCATTGTACCTGTTTTAACTGGGTCATTACTGGCTCAGAGGAATACACTGCTTGATCCTCGTCCTCCTCTTTCTTCCTCTTTTTACAGCGGGGAGCTGGTCTGTCTCCGCTCTTGGGTGCCCTCTTGTTCCTCTGTTTCTTCTTGTCCTCTGGAAGAAATGGTCCGGGGAAATCAGGGTGGTTTGAATCCGAGAACGTCTGTGAGGAAGGAAAAATGACACCATCAAGACAAGAGCTCAAAAATACCCATGTTTTGAGATGACAATATCTCCTGAATCACTCACCCCAGTGCTATCCATGGAGCTCTGTCGCAGAAAAGCTTTGAAGTCCATGGATCCCTCTTCCTCTGACCTCAAACTGTCTTCAGACCTCTGATGAGGCAGTGCAGAAGGTGGAGTCCTCTTATTCTTCAGGAGGTGTTTGAGGAGTTCATTCCCAGCTTCTCCTTTCGAGCTGTTGGCTGGACTTCGGCTCGCAGGATGAAGCAACATTCCCTCCCTCTCTCCCTCTACCTTGACCATGCCTAGTCCCATTTCCATCTCCATTCCTTTATGCCCATGGCAGTCACTCGCCTCCACCTTCTCCAATTTGATGTTGGACAGGATCCTGTCATGCATCTCCTGTTGGCATATGGCCATCTCTGGCCCTCCACCGCAGCTGCCTTCAGAAAGCTGGCGCTCCAGCTCAGAGTGGAGCTGGCTGCTCATGGAGCCTGGTGTAGACGATCCAGGCTGGGACGTCTCGCAGAACTCATGGTCGCCGAAGACCATTGGGTTCCTTGTCGGTGTGGATGATGTATCTGAGACGCAGGGTGTTAATGGGGCTGTCAGGTCCGAGCGAGGTGTGGAAGGAGCTCTCAGTGACTCACAATCATCATCTTTCTTCTTCTTGCGGTTCCTTTTCTTCTTGCCCTTCTCCTCCGGAATGATGTTGGAGTACAGCTGGATCAGTGACGGACCGGGACCTGGAAAGTTCGGAGGCAAGGGCATGGGACCCTCCATTGGGAACTGATGCCCTTGAGTTGGTTTCTGAGGCATCATGTTTGGCCCAGGATATCTCTGAGGTCTAGCTTGTGCCTGGACAAAGTTAGGCCCATGGGGTGCTAGGTTCTCAGAAACAAACCCCGGTCCCATTTCCTGAGGGAATGGACCGTTACCCATCATTGGTCTGGATGGTCCTCCAACGAACCCTGGTTGCATGCCTTGCTGATGTGGAAATGGTGGACCTTGCATCTGCTGCTGCATTCTGGGTGGCTGCATGAAGTCCTGCGGTAGCTCCTGGTTGTAAAAAGGCATTTGTGACAAGGCCCTCATTGTACCATCTTGGCAGTTAGGGACTTGCTGTTGCTCCATGCAGTGTTTCACATTCTGTCTTTCCACCTCCTTCATAAGCTGCACTCTTTGCCTCTCCTGCTGCTCCCGTAGCCGCTCCTTGCGCTCACGCTCCTGGAAGCCTTCACTAAATGGGTTGGTATCGTCGAAATTCACGTGAGAAGACTCGCCACCTGCCTGCCCCTGACTGGGCCTTGCCACTGCCGGCTGCGTAGGCTGTGCCTGCACTACTTGAGCGGGCATTACTCCTGGCATTTGAGGTGCTCCACTGGGAACAGGTGCACCAGGGTGCCAACCTGCTGTGTTGGTCACACTAGTTGCATCTGGTTGGCCAGGGTGGAGACGAATGGGCATCATGGGACCCATCATAGGTTGGTTCATTGGGGGCCCAACTGGCATCATGCCAGCATGGGGCTGCATTGGTGGCATTCCATGCATCATTGCAGGCTGCATGCTACCTTGTTGCTGCTGATTAACCCTGTACTCCTCTATCAGCTCTGCATGCTCCTTCTGCTGTTTGCGAATCTGGAAAAAGCACAGGAAAAAATTGGACTGAAACATTTACAACTACATGTATTTTTCCATTCATTTAAACATGTCCTTGACAATTACAAGAAAATGTCCCCAAGTTTGAGGGAATATGTCCTTGTCTTTCTAATATATAGCGGTGAATCTTTGAAACAATGTATGTATGAATTAAAGGTAGGGTAGGCAATTTTGGAGAGGCTAGCAACAGCAAGCTAGCTTTGAAAGCGTAAGATCCCACTCTCCCTGCAAAATCAGTCTCCAAAGCCACGCCTCCTCCAAAACGCATGATTGCGCACAGGCAGACCAGAGGCTAACCAGCGAAACGATGAGAGAGTGTTGGTGAAGGGTTGAATGCAACGCTGTCAGATGACCTCATGTCATAATATCACAATAATAACGCCTTCCATTCTCACGCTGATGACGTATCATGTCTACGTGAACAGGGTGCGCGGAAGGATGCAAATACATACGTTGACAGGCAGGTAGGACAGCCTATCGTAGCCCTCGGACCGAGGGATATGATTGGACAAACATTTTATGGTCCTATGCCTTCCACAGATCAAGGTTATTATAGTTTTGAATTTTTAAATTAGTTTTATTTTGATATCGTTTTCAAATTTGCTATAAAATTCAGTTTAGTTTTTATTAGTTTCATTAATATTGCTGTTAGTTTTAGTTTATTTTTTATTTTGTGAACACATTTTTATTTAGTTTTTATATAGTTTCAGTTTTAATTAAAGTTTAGCAGAATTAACAGATAACTTCCAGAGCGCAAGCCAAAGAAAGACTTAGGCATAATTTAGCCTTATAGGCAAACGTCTAGCGACACAAAATTAACGCATGCTAAGATTGATTAAATGGTAAAATTATACAAATATACACCGAAATGAAGCAGTCAAGCCTTTTTACTAAAAAAATCTACACAAGTTGTTCTTAACGTCATATCTAATTATGTGTATTGAGATATTTGATATGAAAATAAATGTAGCCTAATTTGGTTATGATGGTTAGATGTCTTTTTTCTTATTTAACCATAATCATGATATTGTAGCCTAACTGTCATGTCTTGCTCACTTTTCCGTGAACAACTGCGCATAAATCATAACTGGGACTAATGAA